TTCAGTGTATGTGAGAGAGAAATAAGAACAAATACATCCTTTTCCTTGCTGGTTGAGTGTCTGGCATTTCTAATGCTCCTGAAATCATTCATCATTCATGAAAATGTCTTAGTAGTTATGTCGTTGAAGTTAAAGCAGTGGTCGCTCTGTTCCTTCATTATGTCAGGGTGCTGTCCTTAGGCAACTTGGAGCTCACGGTAATGTGATGAAGATGCAACATGGTGGAAATGAATTAAACAGAAGAGTTGAGAACAAACCATCATCTATTAATTATTTATTTATTATCACACCATATTCCAGAAGGAGTTAAAGAAGGTAGAATTTCATCTCTAGATCTGAGAAAGAGAATAATATATTCATAACTAAGCTATATTTGCCTTATCTATAAAAACAGATCTCTGGGAAAAAGATGAACATTCTGATATTATTTGAGGGTGCCCACTTAAGAGTAAAGTAACATCATATCTGCGTGTCTCTGCATTTTCATCATTCTATACCAGGACTGAACAGAAAGCTATAATTAATTTATAGCTCATAAAGTTGGATTATAATAACTTTTTTAAAAATGCCATCAATAGGGAGTAATTTTAGTGAAGCAACTAAAAAATGAATGTAAAGATGCTAATTATTTAAAGTGTTGTTAAGGTTGACAGATATGTTTTAACTTTGTTACTCATTTATTTTTTTAAAAGATTTATTTTAGGTGGGGGGGAGGGGCAGAGGGAGAGGGAGAGAAAGAATCCCAAGCAGACTCTCTGTTGAGAGTGGAGCCCCACACAGGGCTTGATCCCATTGCCCTGAGACCATGACCTGAGCTAAAACCAAGAGTGGGACACTTAACCGACTAAGCCACCCAGGTGTCCCAAATTTGTTACTCCTTTTAAATGAATCAGGAATAACTAAATTTCCCCAAATCCTGCTTTGGAATTTTAAGGCACATTGAGAGAAAGCTAAAAAAATTTCAGTTAAGTAATTTGGGATGATTGAATTTCTACTTTCTGAATGATTTTAGATGTATTAAGCCCTCCTGTTCAGTAAAAACCTTGATTATAGCAGTGGTTCCCAAACATTAGTGGGTATTAGAATCACTTAAAGGACTTGATAAAACAGATTTCTGGGGTCCACCTAACCCTTTCTGATTCTGAAGTAGATCTGGAGTGGGGCCCAAGAATTTGTATTTCTAACAGGTTTGAAAGTTTTGCTGATGATGCTGGCCTGGGGACAATGTTTGAGAACCACTGCTTTACATTATATATCAGAGACAAATGAAGTTAATGTTATTTGTAAATCTTGATGCCCCCGTGGATTGGCTATGGAACGTTTAGTACTACTGACTGAAAAACAGCAAAAGTTCCCCAGCCTGTACGCAGATACAACAAAAATTAGATTAAAATATAAAAAATTTATAAATTCAGAGTATATATATCCATGAATTATGAAATTATTTCAATGTCTTGAATGTTAAACTTATATTATCTTTATACAAGCTTTGTTCCCCATAATAATAGATTCTTAAAACTACTTAAAGGACTTTCATATTAAAGGAAAAACAAAAAAGAGGCTGAGGTCATTTCTTATGTCAATCAGACCCCATAATATTTAGGCAGTTTTTAAAAGAAGAGCCTGTTCATTGACCAGATGAATTTAGTGCTGTCCAATTCTATAAATAACTTAAGAAGAATGAATTGGCTTTCAATAATAAAAATCCTTTCTTCTTTTTTTTCAAAATTAGGTAAATGTTATCACTCTAATTATCTCCTTCAGCAAATATAAGATATTGATGTTGTTGGGTCGTTATAATGCCCACAAAAACAAAGTTCTGCTTTATACATTCGATAAAAGCTAAAACTTACTATGTTTATTTTTCATATGTGCAAATAACTGGTTTGTGCACAAAGTTGGTGCTTAATATTTGATGAATAAACAAAACCAAGTTATCGTAAGCCAGAGCCATCAATATTTTTAAAAAATCTACAAATTCACATAAAAACCTGGAAATGTAAATGCCTTTTTTTTCCCGTGTCACCCTCAGATAACGGCCCTTATCTACAGGACGCCCACAAGTAGGGTGGAAAAGTACAAGTTTGTAAAAGAATTGCATTAAGTACCAACAATATCTATTTATAGATCCAAGGATAACACAATCAGATTTGTTTTCTCTTCCCACTGGGAGGAGCACTGCAGCCTGATAGTTCACCTACCCCCTTTTTAAAGAGAGCTTTGTACTTTTTAGAACTTAATTGTTCAAAGAGGATCTGGAACTTACCTAAAGAGTCCTTACTATAGTAAAATGCTACAGTGTAGAAAAGAACAAATATGCTGTTGTTCTGATATGGTGGTAGAGAGGACAACTACTCTGCAGGGGCTGAAGAATCCAAAATAAGCTAATAGCTGCCATGGTATAAGATTTGTAGTTGAGGGCATATAAAGCTTTGGTGATAATTCCCAAGAAGTGGTATTTATGAAACTTTCACGAGGTGCCAGCAATGTTTATAATGAAGACGAAGTGTAGCAGATTAATGAGTGTGGACTGCGAAGATAAAATTCCTGGGGGTGAAACCTAAGTCTTCTACCTCTTGGTGGTGTGGTATCGGGCAAGCTGTTGAACATTCCTTTGCCTGAGTTCCTCATCTCTAAAATGGACGTAATAATGTTACTTATCACATAGGGTTGTTGGGAGAATTAAATGAGTAAATATATGTAATATGCTTAGCTCAGTGCCTGGCGTCTATTATACCTACTATATGAATGTTTGCACTTACTATTGTTTTTATCATTTCTTCCATTTTTAGTATTGCCTTGTGGTCCTCTTTATTTCCCATCCTATTCTAAAATCAATTTCAGCACTGCCTAATTTCTACTGTCTCCATTAGTCTTATACCCTGAATTTTAGTTGAGAAGTTAGATATTCATCAAATCTTAATTGCTACATTTTTAAATTATCTTAATTCTAGTTTAAATCATTATCTTATACCACTTTTTTGAAACAGAGATATAAATGTCTCATTTTATCTTCTTATTCACCAGCAGTTTTAGACCTCAATACTAAATGTACTGCACAGTTAACACTGTTAGAGATTGAAACACAGGATAATGAAGGGTTAAGCGTCCTATAATTGATTAAATTTGTTTACAAAAAATATTAAATGGAAATAACATGTATCTCCATTTTGTACATTAATGATGATCCCACCATCTTGTCTGTTCCTGTAAAATAAATACATTTTCTAGGCTAATTTTCAGACCATGAAGCTTTAAAATCTATTAAAATTAAGAAATCTGTTCGAGTTACAAAAGTCTTCTTAGCATCATTATGTTGGCTGGCTGCAATGGGAAAGGGCCACTGCTGTGGCTTATGTATTTACCAACCTTGTCTAATCATTAAGAGTGAGGATGGGGAGATGTCATGGGTAGTGGATTTTGTGTGGTGTCATCAACTATACAAATCCCAGGAATCCAAATATTAGAAAAATTCCTAATTCAGGAACTGGAATGCCCTCCTTGTGTTCAACTGGTGTGTATGGTAAAGTAAATTATTTGCCCCAATTCTCCATCCTTTCCTGTAACCATGCCCTTTGCCATGGAACTTTGCAGTTCTCCCGCTCTGGGTAGAGGGTACTTCCGGGCCTCTTTTCTTTGTGCTTGCCCATTTGATGTACTTTGGCTAATGCACGTGGACAATTACAATGTAATGCTTCTCAGCCTAGCCCTTTTCCTCTTGCCAGTCTGCCACTGCCACAGAAGAGCTTAAGTAGCTTCCCTTTCAACCTGGGCCCCAGAATAAGCACAAGTGGAAGAGACCAAAGCCAATTTGTAATAAAGAAACTAGCTCAGTGGGATCTGCAACCTGAGCAGAGCTTTCCAACAGAATCCAGTTCAAATGAGCCAATCCCGCAAGTGACTGACCACAGACATTCAAGAAATATTTATTGTATGCCACTGAGATTTTGTAGTAGTTTGTTACATAATAGGTGACTGATATATACATTGAGTTTTATAAAAAAGGCTTTCTTTTCTACAAAGCAGAAATAATTCCAAAAATAACCATGGCAGATGATGATATGATTTTATATACATTTTTTTAAAATACCAATGGCATTTAGGAATGGTAATTAACTTATGAAACAATATCACACATAAATAATAAAGTAAATTTGTATTTGTTGTGTCCTAAATTGCACTATAGGTAAGTACATAATGTGTACTCATTAAGCTAGTTGGTTATGAATTTAATAATCGAAATAAAGTCAATGAAACTGTGTAACTGGCAAATTCAACTCATACATTTAATAAGTATAAATATACTTTCAATAAGTATATTTCTGGGCAGATGTTAGATTTGTAAAAATATCCTTAATGATATAATTATACATGACTTAACTACATTTTAACAATAACCGGAATATTATACATAATAAACAGAATCAAAACAAATACTTGAAAAACAAACATTTTAAACAATGAATTAGTACTTTCAAAGGACTTAACAAATAATTTGATTTTATGAAATTGAGGGCCATTTTGTTTATAAATGTTAAAGAATCATCCTCTAAGATGATAGACAAAGGTGTAAATGAAACTATGTAAGAACAAAGTTTTAAAAATTTCATTTATAACCACTTAGAGACTGTTTTGATAAAGTAACAAAACCTTTAAGATCTCTTCTGTTGCCTTTTACTATCTATTACATGTAAATCTTTTAAAATGTAAATACTGTTTATGAGATAGACAATTAATGGTCCATTATAGAGAATAATAGAGCTAGACTATATTGAGTAACATATTGTAAAATACAGTTACATGGAAATAAGGACATTCTCAACTGAAACTGACTGATTTTAGTATAGAAATAGGACTCATAATCTTTTATATACAATTTAAACCTATTGAATGATTATATTTAGAGATCCATTTAAAATGCTCATTTAAAAAATATACTTGAAAATCTTTTAAGCAGAAGATCTTCATACTTCAGTATGCTTCTGACATTTAGTAAATTGCTAAGGAAGTGAGTTACTTTCAACAGTTTCTACTGAGTTCAAGAGAATGCCCAGTCTCCATAAATAAAAAGTGAATAAAGGAAACGCATCAGAGAGTTGGAAAATAGTTTCATCATGCTTTTGAAGAAATTTCTTGATTTCTTGATCATCATGCCCTACACTTGATGTGTTGCCTTCTTTGGTTTCCTTTTGAAGAAGCTGCTCCAGAACCCAGAACAGGGAGAAAATATTTTCATAGTGTGTCACATAACCGGCGTGAACCTACAAATAAACAACAAACTTCTTTAAAACACATATTGGTTGTAGCTCAGCTCAGAAAAAGCCAAATAAAGATATTAAATTTTCAGACAATAAGTAAATTCTTGATATATTTAACACTATGTTCCTGTTCCTTTAATTGGGATGGAGGGAGAACAAAGGAGAACATTTCCTTTCTTTCAAAAACTTTACAGTTTTGGTGAATGACTTTTTTCTCTTGATGGTTTATAAAGCTCAAAATCCTTTCTCTGTACTACTGCTATAATTCATTACTCAGATGAATCTGAGAATACTTGATAATGTCTTGTGTGTTGAATTCAGTGTTGTGGTAAAGACTTTCAGTGCATGACACTCCTGCCAATGATAACATAAATATCTTGGGGGTAGGGTTTTAAGAATTTTTTTTTTTTTTTAAGATCTTATTAATTTGAGAAAGAGAGCACACACAAGCAGGGGGAGATGCAGAGGGAGAAGCAGGCTTCCCACCAAGCAGGGAGCCGGATGTGGGACTCAATCCCAGGACCCCAGGATCATGAACTGAGCCAAAGGCAGACCGCTTAACTGACTGAACTACCCAGGCGGCCTAAGAATGTGTTATGACTCAGTATAGAGTAACTCAGTATAACTAAGTCTTAGAACAGTTATGATCTCTAAGAGACCAGACATGATCTCATTCTGAGTCTACACAAATCAAGGAGGAATAGGATTAGATTATGTGGAATCACATATATGGTCATGAGGAAAAATATAGATGTGTCTTGAGAAGTTTTGTTTGGCCCTAGATCACTGGAAGTGAGATGAATCAAAGTAAGGCCTAAAAAGTGGACAATGGAAAGCATAATCTGAGGGGATACAGGAATCAGTTTAAAGATATAAAATGGCTTTATCATTTGCTTATTAAGACATGTGTTGGAAACAGTCCCCAAATCTATCCACTCTAATAATACATAAATAAAAAGAAACATTCTTTTAGAGCCCAGAGGAATGTATTCCATAACAAGGTGGTCCTATAAACAGTTAAATATATACTTTCTTCTTATTGAGGTATAATTGACATAACATATTAGCTTCAGGTATCACATAATAATTGGATATTTATATACATTGCAAAATGATCACCACAGTAAGTCCAGTTAACATCTATTGCTATACATAGTTACCAAATTCTTTTTTTTGTGACAAGGACTTTCAAGATCCACTCTCCTAGCTTTCAAATATTCAATACAGTGTTTAGCTAATATAGTTATTAACTATAGTCTCCATGCTGTACACTATATCCCTATGACTTAAATTCATTTTATAACTAGAAATTTGTACCTTTCCATTCCCTTCACCCATTTCAGCACCCTCTAACCCCCACCTCATGCAACTAGCAGTCTGCTCTCTATATTCATGAGCTTGTTTTTGTTTTTTAATTTTATTATGTTATGTTAATCACCATACATTGCATCATTAGTTTTTGATGTAGTGTTCCATGATTCATTGTTTGCGCATAACACCCAGTGCTCCATTCAATATTCCACATATAACTGCATTATATGGTATTTATTTTTTTCTGTCTGGCTTATATCATTTACCATATTGCCCTCAAGGCCCATACATGTTACAAATGGCAAGATTTAATTCTTCTTTTATGGCTGAATAATAATCCATTATATGTATATGTATGTGCACACACACATATAAATATGAATGCATTTATGTATATACACACACACACACACACAAACACAAACACACACCATACCTTCTTTTTTTTTTAATTTTTTTATCGTTATGTTAATCACCATATATTACATCATTAGTTTTTGATGCAGTGTTCCATGATTCATTGTTTGTTCATAACACCCAGTGCTCCATGCAGAACGTGCCCTCCTCAATACCCATCACCAGGCTAACCCATCCCCCTACCCCCCTCCCCTCTAGAACCCTCAGTTTGTTTTTCAGAGTCCATCATCTCTCATGGTTCATCTCCCCCTCTGACATACTCCCCTTTTCTTCCTCTCCTGTTATCTTCTTCTTTTCCTTTTTTCTTAAAATATGTTGCGTTATTTGTTTCAGAAGTACAGATCTGTGATTCAACAGTCTTGCACAATTCACAGCGCTCACCGTAGCACATACCCTCCCCAATGTCTATCACCCAGCCATCCCATCCCTCCCACCCCCAACCACTCCAGTAACACTCAGTTTGTTTCCTGAGATTAAGAATTCCTCATATCAGTGAGGTCATGTGATACATGTCTTTCTCTGATTGACTTATTTCACTCAGCATAACACCCTCCAGTTCCATCCACGTCGTTGCAAATGGCAAGATCTCATTCCTTTTGATGGCTGCATAATATTCCATTGTGTATATATACCACATCTTCTTTATCCATTCATCTGTCGATGGGCATCTTGGCTCTTTCCACAGTTTGGCTATTGTGGACATTGCTGCTATAAACATTGGGGTACACGTACCCCTTCGGGTCCCTACATTTGTATCTTTCACACCATGCCTTCTTTATCCATTCATCCATCAGTGAACATATAGCTTCTTTCCATGTCTTGGCTATTATAAATAATGCTGCAATGAACATGGATAATACATATATACTTTTGAATTAGTGTTTTCTTTTTCTTTGCATAAATACCCCAAAGTGGAATTGCTGGATTATATGGTAATTCTATTTTTAATTTTTTGAGGAATCTCCATAGTGTTTTCCATAATGGCTACACCAATTGACATCCCCACTGACAGTGGGAACACAAGGGTTCCCTCTTTTCCACATTCTCACCAACACTTATTATTTCTCTCTTTTTGATAATAGCGTTCTGACAGGTGTGAGGGGATATCTCATTGTGGATTTGATTTGCATTTCCCTGATGATTAGTTATGTTGAGCATCTTTCCATGTCCCTGTTAGCCATGTCTTCCTTGGAAAAATGTCTATTCAGATCCTCTGCCCATTTTGTAATTGGATTGTGTTTCTGCTGTTGAGTTGTAGAAGTTCTTTATATATTTTGGATATTAAGCCTTTATTTAGTATTTGATTTGCAAATATTTTCTCCCATTCAGTGGGCTGCCTTTTATTCTGTTGATGGTTTCTTTTGTTGTGCAGAGGCTTTTTAGTTTGATATAGTGCCATTTGTTTCTTTTTCCATTTTTTTTCCCTTTGCTTTAGGTGTCAAATCCAAAAACTAATTTCCAAGACCAATGTCAAGGAGCTTGCTACCTATGTTTTCTTCTAGGAGTTTTATGGTTTCAGATATTAAATTCAACTCTTTAATCCATTTTTATTTTTTTGTATGATATTAAATAGTGGTTCAGTTTCATTCTTTTGCATGTGGCTGTTGAGTTTTCCCAGCACCATTTATTGGAGAGGCTAGGCTACTTTCCCATTGTACATTCTTGGCTTTTTTGCCATAAATTGACCGTATATGTGTGGGTTGATTTCTGGGCTCTCTGTTCTGCTCCATTGATCCATATTTATGTTTTTATGCCTATTCCATACTGTTTTGATTACTAGAGCTTTGTAATATAGTTTGAAATCAGGAAGCATGATGCCTCCAGCTTTGTTCTTCTTTCTCAAGATTGCTTTGGCTATTCAGGTTCTTTTGTGTTTTCATACAAATTTTAGGATTGCTTGTCCTATTTGAGACTTTCCTGAGAAACAAACTGAGGGTTCTAGAGGGGAGGGGGGGTGGAGGGATGGGTTAGCCTGGTGATGGGTATTAAAGAGGGCACATGCCGCATGGAGCACTGGGTGTTATATGCAAACAATAAATCATGGAACACTACATCAAAAACTAATGATGTAATGTATGGTGATTAACATAATAAAAAAAAAGTGCTTGTAATAAGAACTACTTCTCTAACTGCCTGTATATCACACTCCTACAAACTGGACTCTACATTCTTAAGTGAATATTCCTAATACCTATGTGCCGATTCTCTTGATCTAGAATGGCCTCTCTCATCAATCTCTCATTACTAGCACCCTGAGCAGCCTTCAGTGCCTATCATAGATGCCACCTATGCACTGAGCCTTTCCCAAGCCCCTCAATTTTATAGATTTGAACTATTTCCCTTATATTCTGGTTGGTTATATTTATTTCATCACCCACTTAGATTCTAAATATGTTGAGAGAAGCAAATGTGTTCCTGTCACTACAGTTTCTACAATTCCTAAAACAATGTCTGTCTTGCTCATAGTAGATCTCAATGATACATTTGTGGTTTTGAACTGAACAGGAATTAGAGCAATGTAAAAGGAACTACTATAGATACATACTGGTTACTATCTGAAGGAGAATAACAGCGACATTTTTCAATGTTAAAAATACCTTTCAAATACTCATCCAAACTAAAAAAATTCACAGTATGTGTTTAACCTGATCTTATCAGCAATACTTAAAAATTTGTCAACCTGCTCACTAATGACCACAGATAGTACAAATCCTGTATGAGTTAACAGATAATTCTTCTTTGGAACTATGTTATAAACATAGGTGCTTAACCTATTTAGACATTAACATAAATTAGGTAGCGTTGAAATACAAATTATGTAGCAAAAGGGCACATTTATTTCATTCACTTTGAAGCTTTAACTATAACAGGGTATGGTATTTTATAATGATAATCTAGGCAGGAGTGTTGCAATGATTTTAGGGTTCACCTCTACTGATAATAATATATTAGCTATATATTCCAGCATTTATCTTACTGGGCTCTTAAAATACATTAGGATTTTGTGAACTGAATGACTATTCTTTTTTGAAATTATTTAATTTTTAGTTAACCTTGGTTTTCATGTATAACAATTTTATGAATAAAAAGTTGTCAAATGGTGCTTATCACAAATAAGGGAATTTCTCCCCTCTGATAAAGGCCATAGCATCCCAGGAAATTTCAGGGCAAGAGCGTGAGGCAGACAGTGTGTCTTGGTACCTTTCCATTCGCTTTGAGATTCTTACTTTGGGCATGTTTAGCTCTACTTCCAGATGGGCTGGGGTCCCTGCTCT